CCCATCCTCCATCCTCCTCAGGTACCCATCATTCGTTGATTCTTGCAACACAAGCAAGCCAGCCTAGCCCAGCCCCAGACAAGACCAGCACTTATTCTTCCTTGCACAAGCTCGCCTGTGTACCGCTCACCACTCTCTCTGTACACCGGAGCAGCATATTAGTGCTGTCCGTACAAACTAGCCCAGGTATGACCTCGCCATTTCCTTCCGCTTTGCCTTCTCTTTGCTAGTCTGCCGGATTTCGCTCCTAAGACATTCGCCTCGCTTGCCTGCCCTCACAATGATCTATTTCCCACCTTCTCTCCTTATTCATCATTCATCAGCTAGTGCCTGGCAGAAGGGCTTTTCCGTATGGCGCGGACGGTGGCTACTGGCGGCTGCTGACTGGCCAATCAGCACCACCTTATTTAGAGCCGTGGATCGGGAGACTGAGCCCACAGTGAGCATTGATTTTGCTTCCTGGTCGCGGTTGCTTTGCTCCTTGGCACCGCTGGCTCTGCTCCTGGCCCGCCCCACCGCCAGCCGGCATACAGTGGCCACATGCTGCTGGCGACAGGCTACAGCGCCTTGTATCGACGTCCACCACGATAATAAGCTACGGGACTGGGCTCTCAGCAATCTCGATGATGACATTGAGTTGGCCTGCGGTCTTTGTAGACCGGGCCTTGGTCTAATGCCTCGCTGCCGTCACTATCGTTTCTTCCTCATGGATCTTGCACGAGTTTTCTTTATTTATTCCCTCGCTCGCTGCGCATCACCTCCCCCTCCACGCTCTTCACCTGCCGTCTCATCACTCTCTTCCCTCTGCAACCCCGCCCCCACCATCAGCCTTTGACAGGTCTTTTGAGCTCGCTTTTGTTTCGAGCTAGTCTACCTTTTTTTTAGCGCTTCTTGTCGTGAGTGGGCAGAGCTTGTGTGCTAAAATGGACTCTGATCCAGGCCAACCTCAGCGGCTCAACAGCAGCCAGCACGAACCGAACCAGCAGCAAAGACGTCACAACCACCTCGTCGAGCTTCCCACCACACACAACAGCATCTCCGACTCGACGCCTTCCTCGGCGTTCACGCGGCGACGTCTTGAAGCAGTCACTCCGGGCATTGACCTCTCCACCTACTTCCCCTCCACAAGCCCCAGCGATCTTGCCAGACCCAGCTATTTCTCCGCAGCCGATCCCAACATCCCACCAGGTCCAGCCAATTCCTCCAACCTGGTTGAGCGTCAAGTTCCTGCAATGGCAGCAGCCTTGGCTCGCCGCGAGTCTCTCTCCGACATTCGCGCCGCGAATCCCGACCTCTCTCTGAGCGGCAATATTATTTCCGCAACATTCACTACCCCGCATGCTCTCAATTATTGCAAAGGAGGCCACTGGGTATGTTTTCTCCAAGGCACTCTACCGCCCCTCCTCTGCCCCTCTTCCCTGACATGAGCAACGAACCCCACCATGCACTCACTTCACGGCGCATCACATGAACCTCACTTTTGCCCACAAGCCACCATGCACATTGACCGTTGCTGATATTCGTCTGCCTTCCTGGCCCGTAGGACCTGAAAGCCCGCCGTGGTCAATCTGCCCTCTACGATTCATTTGCCCATCTCTCCTCCGACGCCACTCCCTGGCACCATACCGTCGTCGCATGGACGGGCGAGATCGATTTCCCTCAAGACCTGCCGTCCTCACCCCCTGAAGCGCCCACCTCCTCCACCACCGTTGGTGTCTCGTCGCTCAATGCGCTCTCTGCGCCCGTTCCGGTCGATGGTAACACCCGCCTTCCTACCCCCCCTCCGATCGACGGCCTCTGGGTGCCCCGCGAAGACCAGCAGCGCCTCGAGTATCAGCTCTCCCATAGCAAGAGCATCCGCACAGTCCCTGTCTGGTTGGCGGATGAGAATGAGATCAACAACGAAGGCATCACTCTCAAGGACCAGGCAAGATGGAGGAGGTATGCCGAGCACGATCTCTACACACTCTTTCACTACAAACAGCACGAACCTTCAGACGGCCGCAAGGAACGTGTTCAATGGGCCGACTATTATCGTATGAACCAAAAGTTCGCCAACAGGATTATTGAGATTTACAAGCCAGGCGACATTGTCATTGTTCACGATTACTACCTCATGCTCCTCCCAAGCATGCTACGCCAGCGGGTGCCCAACATGTACATTTCCTTCTATCTGCATTCCCCATTCCCCAGCAGCGAGTTTCTGCGTTGTCTTCCGCGACGAAAGGAAGTTCTCGAGGGTGTGCTTGGAGCCAACCTCATTGGCTTCCAGTCCTATAGCTACTCTCGCCATTTCCTCAGTTGTTGCACACGAATTCTCGGATTCCCATCGGATACCCTTGGTATCGACGCCTATGGGACTAGAGTGCAAGTTGGCGTCTTCCCCATCGGCGTTGATGCCGCCAAGGTTGAGTCGTATGCTTGGGTCGACAGCGTCACCGAAAAGTATAACACGCTGAAGAAGATGTACGAGGGCAAGAAGATTATTGTCGGTCGGGACCGGTTGGACAGTGTTCGAGGAGTCGCCCAGAAGCTCCAGGCTTTCGAGCGCTTTCTCGAGTTGTATCCAGAATGGCGCGAGCAGGTAGTCCTTATTCAGGTCACCACTCCTACCACTGTCGAGGCAGAAAAGGAGGATGCCGAGAACAAGATTGCAAGCCGAGTCAACGAATTGGTCATGAAGATCAATGGTCAGTATGGCAGCCTGGGGTTCTCCCCAGTTCAACATTACCCACAATACCTTGACCAGGACGAGTACTTCGCTTTGCTCCGTGCAGGTGACATTGGGCTCATCACGTCGGTTCGTGACGGCATGAATACTACTAGTCTCGAGTACATCATTTGCCAAAAAGATCTTCACGGTCCCTTGATTTTGTCTGAATTCAGTGGGACTGCTGGCAGCCTGGGTGATGCCATCCACATCAACCCTTGGGATCTTAGCGGTGTCGCTGAAAAGATTCATCTTGCACTGACCATGTCAGATGAAAAGAGGATGGCTATGCAGAATAGCCTTTACCGCCATGTGACGAGCCACAATGTGCAATCTTGGATCACGAAATTCGTCCGCAAGGTTTACACGGTGCTCGGCGATTCTAATCTGGTCAACGCGACACCACTGCTGGACCGTGCCCTTATGCTCTCCCGATACAGATCGGCAGGCAAGCGCCTCTTTATGTTTGACTACGATGGTACACTGACCCCAATTGTTAGCGAGCCAAGCGCCGCAGTACCCTCAGAGCGTATCATCAATGCCCTAAGGGTCCTCGCCGATGATCCAAAGAATGCCGTGTGGATTATCTCTGGCCGAGACCAGGACTTCTTGAAGCATCACCTGGGACATATCCAGAAAATGGGCTTCTCCGCTGAACATGGAAGTTTCATGAAGAATCCTGGATCGGACGAGTGGGAGAACTTGGCTGAGAAGTTTGACATGGGATGGCAGGAGGAAGTATTGAAAGTGTTCCAGAAGTACACCGATATGGCCACTGGTGAGACCCCCCAAATCCAACTACACCCAACCTCGTTTCTGGGATATGGCTGAGCACCGAATGCATGGAAGGCACGTATGAAATGAGTATTGAGGGATGAGCTAACCGTCGAGTAATTTAGGCTCTTTCATCGAGCGTAAACGGTGCGCGCTCACTTGGCATTATCGCCTTGCTGATCCAGAGCTGGGTCTTCAGCTGTCCAGGGAGTGCGAAAAGGAGCTCTCCGTGGGGGTGGCCCGTCATTGGGACGTGGAGGTGATGCCTGGAAAGGCAAATGTCGAAGTCCGCCCAACATTCATCAATAAGGGTGAGATAATCAAGCGGCTTGTCCAGACGTACCACAGCCCAGGCACTTCTTCCGAAGACAAGGAGTCTGGAAAGGTAGAATTTGCCCTCTGCATGGGAGATGACTTCACAGATGAGGACATGTTCCGGAGCCTCAACGGATTTTCTGGGCCTGTTCTCGATCCCGATCACGTTTTCACCGTCACTGTTGGGGCCAGCACCAAAGTCACACTAGCAAGATGGCATCTGCTGGAGCCTGAAGATGTGATTGAATGTGTGGCGCTTCTTGCTGGCTCCGAGGAGGGAATGCAACTCGGGGAGGTCAACCTTGCGGCATTGAGCTCGGTGGAAGGGCACATTCCTGAAAAGGCCGTGCTATGAGACCGAGTCAATTGTTTCAAGTTTGAATTGAGCATGCAAGTTGGGTAAAGGAGGCGATCCAAAGGAGCCAGGGACCGGCATTCGCGCTTTTTGTCCGCCTTTTTCTCTCATTTGAAAGCAGACATGGTCCGTCCCTTGGTTTTGGTCGTCGCGATAACAACAATTCATTATAGCCCGTGCCTTACCATAACGACTTTGATGACAACTGTGGAAGGAAGTAGATGAGATCTAAAACAAATGATAGACGGCGAAATCGAACGAGAACCGAAAGTACAGACCATGGAGTTGTTTTATTTGAATACATAGCATGTAAACAGAAACGTACATGGATTTCTCTACCAGCACATCTCGTCTTGTGCAAGTGTATTTTCGTATTGTAGGTACCTTACCTAGGTAGGTAGAGAAACGGCGGCGTCAATAACAGAGGTACTGCCTTGTATCTAACTGAAAGTGCGGGGGGCACCTGCTACTAAAATTGGCAGGAGGTCGGTTGGTTACTGCATGCATTACAAGCATGAAGTTTTCGGCACATGCGATGTTCTTGATCCATACTTGCTTCCTTTCCAAGCTCTGAACTGTATTTTTTGAGGTGCCTTGTACCCAGCGCCATTCTTTCCCACCGGTATCCAGACCCTTCCTTCCGTTGTCAAGTTGGAAGTAGGTGTGGCATTGCAGCTACCGTTCTGCCTCCGTGGCCAACAACATTGTTTCCCAACACCGTTATAACCACACAGATTGACTAATTAGTATCGCACTGTTAGCCACCGAGATTACGGGATCACCAGGCAATCACATTACTATTACTATTACTACTGCTTTTACTAAGTCCCATTACATTCGCCGGCCATGCTTGACGTCCGGCTGAGAAACCGGGATAATGGCAGCATCGTTGCTATCCGAGTTGACGAGGAGGGAGCCTACCACATGACAGCCAAGACCAAGATCGAGCCTGGTCAGTGTATTCTCACGGACCCCGGACTTGCAATTTTCCCTTCGGGCCTGGGAAGTGGTCCGGAGTCCTCGGCACTGATCAAAGAACGTATTGATGCCCTTCCCGAAAGGGAGCGTGAAGTCTTCTTCACCCTTCCGCAAAATAGATTGTACGACTACGATGAATACTACGGACGGTATGTTGCCCATGCCTCCGTGCTTCGACACAGTCCAAAGTACGCCTGCATCTTCCCTCTGCTTTCACTGGCGTCCAACGGCTGCAGGCCCAACAGCGTTACTTCGGTTCTTCCAACAAACAAGACGACGGGAAACTCCCGACGCAGAAAGGGTTGGAAGCTTGCCCTTCGCGCCTCTCAGTTGATCAAGAAGGGTGAAGAGATATCCTTCTTCAAACTGGTTGGCGGCGGCCGGTTTCGTAGTCGGCTGGAAAATCATGTTGAAAGATTCGGTTACCCGTGTGCCTGCAATGACTGTATACTGCCAGATGATCTCCATTTGCCCTCCGAGGACCAGAGCTGGCAGCTGAACCAGGCCTGGGAAACAGCATTTGGCCGAGACGATGTTTCCTCCCTGGCATTGATACATTCCATCTCGCACATGGCGCAGTGTTGCTACTATGAGTCTATTACCGACAAGAGTATGCTTCTTCTCTATCGCAGGCTTTTCGACAGGTTGGTGCAGGAAGATGATATCATGCGAGCACATGTATTTGCCGCCAAGATATTGAAGATAAACGCCAGACTCATTGGATGGGAATGCGACGACTTTCACCAAGGGCATTTGATGGCCCTCCATGACCGCCTGGACGAGGAATTCAGACATGATCCCGGCATTATGTTGAAACTGGAACCTCTTGACTACGGCCAGAGAATGGCTTGGCTTTTTAGGTTGGAGGAGACTCTCAGGGAAGCCGAGATACCGGAAACATGCCAAGACCCTCATCGAGATGAGGAGGTCTTCCCCAGCTATACGCAATTGCCTGAGGATGATGAAGGCAAAGTATCAGACCATTTCAACTTGTATCACCGACCAAAGAAGCACTGGATCTTCATAGCAAGCCTTGTCGGTTTGGATTTAGTGACGGATAGGCTTCTGGTCCGTGACAGAAAACAAAAGGCAATTCCTGTCTGTCTGGATAACGTAGATCTATGTGCGGAGGTCGCACGGATACTTGGCCCATCGTCTCTCATCCTAATACCTTATGCTGCGAGAATTACCTTAGAAAATGGAAAGGAGGCTGTGTCTTCCCCAAATCAGATGATCAAGGTATGTTTCTTCTTATGACTGACCCCAATTACCTCTGCCCTGCAAATTCGGAAGAATGGAGTATGTGTATCAAGACCTAAAATGGTATTACAGGTGATATCGGGGCTGACTTGGCCCGATATTGTGAAGCTCAGCTGCAAGGTAAACATCTACTCGAACATAAGACGAGACATGAGAATCTGTCACGGATGCAACAAGCAAGTTGAAAAAAGTTCTCCGGAGCTCTCCAAATGTGCACGATGTGGTATGTTTTGGTATTGTAGCAAGGTCAGTTTTTCAAAGTAGGGCGAGAAGTTGAACTCAACGTCACCAAGATCGCATCTTGACTGATTCCCCCCCTTCTAGGACTGTCAGGTGGATGGTTGGAAAAACAAAGGTCACAAAAATGACTGCAAAATTTTGGGTATCAAGGTCATATATGACCTTTTTTGCAGGCATCCGGAGGCAATGATAAACCCTATCGGCTGGGAGAGGAGGGTTGTGTTCTTCAACGCTATAGACTGGGCAAAGCTCACCCCAAAAGCCACCGTTTCAGTTGCGGATTTGATCAAAAAGGTCCAGCCGGTTGGAGTCGCACCTGCTTCCAAGACCAAGCCTGTAAACCTAAGGGTCAATACAATTTTGGAAGAGCTTGGTGATATTGGGCCAGAGGAGTGAGTCCCCTCCTCGACTCCTGGGTATAGGTTCGAATTGGCTATGGTAATCATCGTACTAGCCTATACAGTCATTCACTACCGGACACAAATAGTATGAAGTAATAATTGGATATTGTATGTTTCTTTTGTGACAGGACCGTTTTTCTCCCTCACGGCTCTGCTGTTCCTCGCGTACATAATACATCAATATGGGGTTTGGATGGTGAGTGTATACACACGTACCCCCGTCCTGACGCCTCATTATCGGATTGGGAATCAAATATCAGAATAGATCGCTCTCGTCTGCTTCTTAAACAATGCAAAAGGAGAAAGTTTGGCCGCCCGCAACTTCAAGAACGCCCAAAGATCCCCTTTACAGAATGAAAATATAGAAGGAGAAAATTATGTAACAAGAAGAGAAAAATGAAACAAGGCTTAGTGATGAAATCGTTATCGTCTAGTACCCCCTCAACTTGTCAGAGGGCGATCTCGATGGCGAAGCCGTTGAGCCGTTGGTATCTAGGTCCCGCATCTGCATTAATCTTTGCTCGTCCATGCTCTCGCTGTCTCGTGCGCCGAACTCGACGGCATACGTCATGTGCAGAGCGATGGCGCCGGGCCTCGTGGGAAGCGGCATGTCCGGATGCTTCTCAGCCATGCTTCGACTGGTGGTCCCGAAGCCGAGATTTCGCTCCGTGAAGTCCTGCCGCGTGCCAGGCTCCGAGGGCCAGATGTGGAGACGCGGGAAACTGCGGACGATGAGACTCCGAAGAGAGGGCATGCATGCGCAGATGATGCCGACGTTGATCTCGATGGTGGACCAGACGGCGACGTCGACCTTTTCATAGGTGGCGTTGGGCGACTCCCAACCGTGGACGATTAGGTTCTCGAGGCGAATTATACTGATGATGGTTACACTAGAAGGAAGAATGTTAGTTTAAGCTCAAGACTGCGCACCAGGACACACAATAAGGATACTCATGGTATATGCGCCCAAGTCATAGGATGGCAGAGGGTTACTCACAAGAGACCGACGCAAAACATGGCGCCAACGCCAATCTTCTTCTTCCAGTCCAGGTTGAGCGAGTTGATTTGCGACAACGGAATGCCAATCATGAAAAAGTCAAGACCAATGCTGATACCCGAATTGGCCCAAGCCACGGCACTGGCATTGATACACGTCCCCACATGCTCCTTGTCCCAGCGATGCCAGTAGTACGAGACTGGCCTGCACTGGAAGATGGACACGAACAAAAAGACGAGGCCGAAGGTGAGAACGAAGATGATGGTGCCCCAGAGAGCGCGGCGCACCCTGGGAGCAGGGAAGACTCGAAGGTAGAAGAAGAGGAAGGCGAGTTTGCACACCGAGACGTTGAAGAAGTAGATGGTTGAGTAGATGTAGAGGTAGTAGCCGAAGTCGGTGATCTGGTCGTATTGGAGCGTCCAAATGTCCCTGCCGAAGCCGCTGCGGCGTCCACCTTCGCATGCGATAGCAGCCCCGGGTGCCTGGATCAGAGCGGCCAGCAGGGTGATCCAGTCGTCGAGGCCGAGACTCAGGTTGCTGGCGTATATCTTGACAGCGAACCGCTGTATCACGAAGATGCCGGACAGGATGGAGAATACGATGGCGACAGTCGGGAACTTTTTGGTGTTGTCTCGTACCTCGCGTTTGCAGGCTACTTGCGTAACGTTCTTGACAGCTGTTGCCATATCTTTGTTAGGCACCTATTTTGGGGGAGAGGTTCGAGATGCTGCACGTCGTTCTTACTTAGGATTTCTTTGACAAGCTTGCAATTTGATTCAACGCATGCTGTTGCTGTGTCGTCAAAGTTGGGACTCGCGCAATAGCATGTCATATTGCCCGCGGCACAATCAGAACCCTCAGTTAATAGAGTAAGGCAATCGTACTGTGAATCGATTGAAACCATGTTAGCCAATGTGATACCAGGCTTTCTCTAAGCCAACTTCGATCCCTGACCGGTCGGAGGATTTCATTCGTACCGAGCAGCTTGGCAATGCCTTTAATACATCAGCCAGTGTGAGATCTGCCGAAGCAGCAGTTGTGAAGAACGTGGAAGCCACGAGGAAAACGCTGGCGGCAAGCCATGAAGCGCGCCCGAATATCCGCATCTTTGGTCCCGATCTCCTCCAATTCAAACCCGTCGTCCTTGCCGATTTGCTGGTGTCGCTCGGTGTCGTGGCAGCATTCGACTGCTCGATAGCCTGTTCCTTCCTCTTCGTCGTCGTCTTGGGCGTCCGTATTAGTATAATCCCCCCATGGGACTTGTTCGACGGTTGGGAAATCGGCCTTCTAGAAGCGTTACACTACAGGCCGTTTCCTTGGGGGGAGGGGGGGTTTTGAAGCAAGTGGGCGGCGGAGTGAATATCTATTACTGGCATTACATGAACAACATGCGAGAACATGGATGGCATGAGGTAGGTATTATTAGTGCCACGCCGTCTTATTCAGACACAGGCGTGTATAGTGGATCTTGGGAGCTTTTCTACGTATCTATGAACCGAGCGCTAGACTCCTGCGCGGGGAGCAATGAGAGGAGAGAAATCAGAATGTCAGTTGATACAGGAGAAGGATCAACATGCTCGTAGCAAGACGGGATGACCGGCGTGGTGCAACCCCTTGCCTCTGCGAGTGGAGAGAGAATCCTTGGCTCGCCAGGGTCGTGGGCCGAGACATTGCAGCAGCGATCCTGGGACCTGGGGGATACAACACCGGATCTTAAAATTAGGGGGCCAAGTCGTGCCGTTTGGCGTGTTGCTAAGTAGATTGTTAATAGAGCTGTCACTAATTGAGGTGTAGAGCAAGAGATGGGGCACCACGTTGGTGGTCGTAGCATTTAGTAATATGCATATCGTCCCAACCAACATCGCCCAGTGCCACCATACGCGGCATATTTCCCAATCGAGGCCAGCGGACGGGAAGCCAGGTATCAGGTAAACAAATGTAGGCCCTCCTTTGACGAGGAGGTCGGGGGAGGCCATGGCAAGGGTTGTCGAGGGGGTGCTGATCAATCAACTGTATAAGAAGGGAGAATTCAGACAGTCGTATGTTCGCAGAGATGATAACACACATGGGGCATGACTTCACAAACATGGCGGTGGTGAAAATCTGGGAGCAAATTTGGGCAGTGTAGCGATGGGCCACGATGACCCGGTGAAAGGATTCCAATAAAGCCCAATATTCCAAGGTGATGGACTGAAACACTGTTGATCTCGGTGGCCATAGCCAGTTCAGGCCTTGGCACAACGTGTGTCCCGGTCCCCCACCCCCCCAGTTGGGTGGTCTTGATCAATAGCTTACTAGGATGCGGCTCCTGACAGCCCCATGCCATGCTTCGTCGTCATAGCGCAAAGAGAGGTCGAAGGAGCTTTCGAAGGAGTACTCTGCATCTACAGGTGGTTCTCGTGAGCGTTAGCGTTGTAATGAGAAGTAAAACCGCGAGTGGCCGTAAGGTGAGGAGAGGAGCGGTCTAGCGAAGAAGGGAAGAAGAGGGGTCATGGCGTTGGTCGATCGTCTCAATTGCGTGTTGATGTTGGTTGATGCGTCGTCGTCGAGGCCGTTGGCTCTTGTAAGTCGCGGCGCAGTCAGCTTGTCGCACCAACCAACTGACATCAGCGCGAGGCGATTGACTACGCCGATGTTGGTTGTTAAGAATAGACTGGAGAGCTGAGATGGTGAGCAGTGGGTGCTGCGGCTCGTTGGTTGGTGGGCTGGCCTCGGAAGAATTCCCAGCCCAGTCTGAGGTGGGTTAGCTGATAGCTCTTACTTATTGCTTAGCTTGCATGTACCTTGCCAACTGCATTGGCGGGGACGACCCGCGCTGTCCTGCTAATGTAGTACATGTTTTAAAAGGGCGGGATGCACGCGCGGCGCAACCAGAGCTCGGACGGCAGGTGCAATCCAGGTTAGTCCCAGGCAGCTGTTTAGGTTAGTGCCTGGGCAGTCTGCGCACGAGGGTGTCTCGGCTGTTGGGGGCAGGTACCTTCCACCTAGCGCTTACCGAACATTCGCCACGGGCGTGTTCCGACCAAGATGCACAATCCAATCTAGGAACAATTCCACAATGTGACCACTCAGGTTGCATCCGACCGCTTTGAATCCATGACCCAGGGCGAACCAAAGCAAAGAAACCGCTTGTCGGACTCGAATCCGGCTGTCGATGACACTGCCATGCATGGCACGCATCCATGCTTTCGTCCCATCCTCCCTGGGTGGCAATCGTATGGCCAATCACCAACCCTCGTTCTGGACCATCGCCGTTCTCGCCCTGCATCCTCAGCACTCACCCACCTCCATCGTAACTTCGGCAGGGTAGGGTAAGGCCTCATGGAGCCTATTTTGATATTCGCACGCTGCTTCTAGAAGAATTATTCATCAGCCACGCGCACATCCCATCTGCCATGCGTTGGGCCTGGGCCAGGAGCAGACGCCCCGTCATCCTGCTCGTGGGCGCACATTAGAGTCTGATGCAGGAAAACGAAAACGATGACGGTTGCTGGATATACCACCTGCCTCGTACATAAACAGCTGCAGCAAACACCCTGCATTAAATCAGGCAGACGAATTCTCGCCGTTATCCTCAGGTAATGCCTCGGTGTAAGTAAGCCTTGGCTTGATTTCTACTATGTCCCTTGTTTGCCGTATACTCCCAAGTGGGTGACATTGAAATTGAGACACTTGAACATCACACTGCTTATTCTCAAATGGACGACCGGAATTATTGGATTATTGAGTCCCAATGATATACAATACTGTAGTTAGTCTTCCTTTCTTCTATCTTCATACTTCTAAAATTCTCTATTTTTTTAACAAAGTAGTCGATTAATAGCCAACTCTTCCATTAGGTACCTTGGACACTCCTCCTGTCACCCACTTGACTCCTCTGTTGATAAACGAAGTAGCCAATGACCGCCGTCAGGAACCATTGACCTATAATAAGGACGGCCATCGGTCTGTATCGCCACGTGGATCATCTTGGAGCACACTATACCCTCCAACCTGCATCTGTGCCGGGATATCCCAGTCGAGCAATCGCTGGATGCGATGCTGAATGCTACCCTCCTAGCCTCTAAAGTCATGCTGCACATCCTCGCTGCTACTATACCCCTATGGTGCATGCCTAAATAGGCACACGATACGAGAGATACAATGTCTTTGTCAACTCCGTTGACAAGCCCCCGCGATCTGCAGATGGCGAGGCCGCCCCCAATCATGGTGAGCTTCCACGTTGTTGGGCATCTTACCTCTCATGAATACACGAGGTTATTTGTGGGTTTCGGCGCGTGGTTTCCTTCCGGCATGGTTTCAGTCTCAAATTCAGATCAGTCAGACAACTATTGCGGAGTAATTAGCAGGACACTTACCTCGCATGCCCACTTGGACGCGAAGTCTTCTCACCCATCCCGGTATAAGTAGATTTCATCTACCGTCATGATCACGCGGTAAATAATGGAGCCATGTATTACTATTTTCTTCATTTCGGCTTATCCTCCCCTCTTCAATGTTGTCCATCCCGCTTCTTTCAATTGGGAATATTAGCTCGTCCTAACAGGTCTCATCAATTATCTGGATCACTCAGCCAATAAAATGGGTTGAGACTAGAAGGCCTTCTACTATTAATCACTACGTTCCTATTACTCACAAACGGCAGAGGATTATACTTACCAGATACCTACCACGGAGACATCTGAAACCCTGCCGTCTCTGTCCCCGGCAAGCCAATTAAAATCAGTGTGTACCTATCATGGGCCATGGGTAGCAAACAAGGGTCATCCAATATGCCGAGAGGATTGTCCAGGTGGGCCGTGAATGGCATTCTGGTGGCAGAAACCGGGCGGATCCTAACAACATGGAACGGAGACGGAAGGGGAGATGCCGTGGGCGGTTTGCAGAGTAGGTGAAGCGAAGCCCTTTCGGCTGGCACACCGCCAATGGCTGCGTCGCATGTAGAAAGCAAGCATAATACTGATGAGACAGCGGAGGCATTCAAGTTACATCGGAGCATTTTATTCATTTACAAGCTCGGGCCACACTATCATAATCGTCGACGCCTATCGCCTTGGGTAAGGGCTGGTTCGAAATCTCCCAACAAGAACGAAGGGATTCTTGGGTGTGACGAGAGGAACGCGCTCGTTTTACCGGGGTGTTGCAATGTCGGAATTCGTGTTGGCCATCCGTGTCCAACAAGGCTTGCTACGAGCTTTTTCATTGTTCAATCACCGCGGCGCCCGTAGGAGACCCCGGCTGGCGATCCTGCCCTGAAGCGAATGTGATAGGTCTGCTGGCCTACATCTCATCCTCTACAAGCTTGTAGCCGCTTTATGCAAGACGGCTGAATTGGATCACTTTTCAGAGTACAATTGGCTACATGGCGAGGTGTGGTGCCATGTATAGCCATCACATGTCACACTTGGAACAGTACAGATGTGATCAACATTAGCGTAAGGCAACTGCAACTGCATTTTGGGCAGTTGTTTCATAACTAACTCATCGATGGGATAAAACGGTGGAGGAACGTACCAGGGTGGTGTAGCCAGAAGATATCGATTCTGAATATCTATGATAAAGTTCAGCCGCCATTGATATACAGCTATGGCAGACAATAGTAACCGTACGGGCGTCTGTAAACTGCCACCGAGTCTTGTTGCTTGGTCGGAGCCAACATGTGCGATGGCTTGCTAGTGTTGCCCAGTCCGATGTCTCCTCTCGTAAGGGAGCTTAACTTTCTCCGCAGGAAGGTGTGGGAGCAAGGTAGTCCGTTAATGCCGCGCAACCTACTGTCACATACTTGAAGGAGGGTTGTTCCAAGTCAATCACATGGCAGTCAAGTTGCAATAAGCCACATTGTTGGTCCCGAGAGAGGGCGCCGCCACTAACAACTCAACAGCTCCCCTGATAAGCGCAATGTAATCTCTTGCTCTCTACGTTTCAAACCCTGCGGAATCGCCCTTGACCTTCCCCCATAGTAACCAGTCGGTTGGAATCGATCGTACGTGATCTCGTACAATAGATCATGGCCATTACTACTTCGTAATTATCTCGTTATGGGAGTTTGGAGAATATTCAAGACTACGATGAACAGATTGAAATGATGGCCCTCCCTAGCATGAGACTAGGTTGGCGGGACAGTCCGCCAAAAGGCTTCACGATCTCCGACACCTTGCATTAGGGGATGGGGCATCCGATGCTAAAGAGACCAGTCTAGGCATATTGGGTAGGTAAAGGCACCCTAGTTTAAAAAGAGTCGGAGATGGCTGCATAGGCATTGTTCGGCCGAACGTGGTGGTCACAAGTTTAACTTTTTGAATCGCATTAGTTGGTCCGCTTTGATCAAGCCACGATCTAAGTATTCACCATGGGTTGCGGACGGACAATAACAAAGATGAATTGAACCCAATATTTGGTGAGTTCCAATCCGATCGAAAGGTCTAGTCTGGTCTAGCTCTTCATTCACAGAACGAGCGCTCCCACCCTCCCTCTACTCAGTATATCCGATCTGGACACTCGTTCATTTCTTGTCTATTTGACCGTTGAGAAACGGCTGATGTCCTTTATAGCAATTAAATCCACAACTAGAACTTGAAAAATAAACGCACAGCTATTCTCATCCCGCGCTGGTCCTTATCTGCTGTAAGCGTCCTTGGGCGGAGATGGTACGCACTCTGGATTGGATAGACAGAATGTTGGTTCTGAAGCCAACCTTCACACAAACAAAGAAAGCATGTGAAGCACCTCCCAGTATGTAAGTTCACTAGGCCGCGGGAGGGCATGAGCATCTTCGGGAGTAGGTGGGCGTTGTAGTTTGACGTGGCAACCTCCCTCCCTTCACCGATCAGTTGGTGCTAGGGCCAGCGCTAAACAAGGCTGAAAACCGTCCTCCGAATTGATGGTGTCCGGTTCTTGTGATGTAGGGCTGTCTCCTCCCTCTTTGTTACTGCCCGAGCATAACTCAAAATATGTCACGTTGGAGGGATGGACTCGCAGCACGGGGCTCGTTGGGACCGAGAGTTAACTCTCGATGGAGAGGTATGGCCTTGTCCGATATATTTGGGCTTGTGCATTCTGCGTCCTGGTCTCTACAGCTGCAACACACCTCCCAGAGACGAAAGAACTGCCCCTCACAGATGGGTCTTAATGAGAGAACCGACGTGAACACGATTGTGAAGAGAGTGCGACATACATATCATACACTCTTAAGGAGACCGATCTCAACCACATTGAATTTTACATCTTGAGCACCGGCTTCGGCCTCTTCCTCAAATGGCGCCTATACCAGGTTCAATGTCTACCAGAGCTGCCGGCGACCCCCTCGCCCAGAATTTGACACGAAGTCAGGTTATAGGCGAAAGCTGGGCTCAAGGGTTCAATATTGGCTCAGTAGTGATTCTTCTACTTTTTGTCCTGTGCAACTATCGAAAAGGGGTGGTTTTGCACAAACTGATTCTCATTGAGGTACTACATCTATCTCAATGCGGCGGCTTTGAGAACACTCGCTGACTTGAGAACGAATAGCTCTTCTTGGCCGGATGGAACGGGATATTCATCTTTTTTGACGACCCTGCGTATGGATGGTACGTTTTGTTTGAGCGACATCATGGGAAAGTAAAATGAAGGACATGGCTAATTGGGCATTTGCGTCGTACAGGATACTTAGCAGCACTGCTGCTCTCCTCTACATTTCATACAATCTCCACAACGTCATATCCTGGCTCAAGATCAAACCCTTCCTTCCAAGATGGGGAGGGCTTCTTTTCATCATATCACTTATACTGGTTCAACCATACTGGGTGCTGGAGACAGTGGCCAACTTCCAGTACTTCAACCTTTTGGGGAGCAACATGTTCACAAAATCACGATATGTTGAACCAATTGCTAGGTTAGTTTTTGACTCCTCAAATGTATTGACCGACGTGATCTGACCGCTTCTTATATCGTCCCTCGAACAGAGACCCATGGTGGATTTTTACTACAGTCAAGCTTGTCATGGTGATCAACAAAAATTACGGCTACACGTTGATAGCACTAATAAGGACGAGCCCTCGATTTGGTGTACTGCTTCTCTGCATGTTCATGTCAATTATCTTCTTGGCAACCGATGTCGCTGTGACCGCGACAATGTCGTCACCGAGCGGCATCAATCCATTTTGGCGTGTAAGTCTCTGGAGGACTGTCCGAGAGGGGAGGGATATACAGTCTTACTAATTTGTTGATAAAGCTCGCCCTTGTGTTCAAGTGTGCATCCGACGTCATTTTCCTCGACGATTTCAAGAGCGTCCTCGACCACATCGCCGAGACGGCTCTTCGTCGCATCAACAACAGTGGTCAATACGGTTCAAGTCTCCACGGATTGAGCGCTCGCCACAGTGGAGGCAACACTCGCCAGATACCCAACCTGAATGCTGGGCCCGGCGTCACAATGTCTACAAAGAACAAGCGGGGAAATGTCACGGGGGTAACAAACGGGGCTTCAGGGTGGACTCCTTCGAGACTGGCGAGGAGCCGGCTGAGTCTGGACAGCGACGAGATACGATTGGGACTTACCTCTGTCGAAGGTTCGCGGAAGCAGAACGACGGCAATATCATGACTAAAACCATGATCGTGATTTCGGATCAGAGTGATGTCAGCAACACTCACTCTTGTATCTCAGCAGACACATATGGTTCCAAGGAGGACATCCTAGCGACAGCAAATGGTGACAAGGGACAGCACGAACAAGGAAATAGAAGGTCAGCCTTCGTTAGCACAGACATTGTGTCAAACAGCCTGGAAAAAGGTCAACCGAAGCCGTCTCCTACTGGAGATCATGGTCAAGAAATACCCATGGTCCCCATCAAGGCGCAGCTGTCGCTAGGAGGGAAAAGGGACTCAATTTAAGGGCCCTCTTTCTTTATTTCTTATCTTGGATAACCAAATAACAATTCTGTTCCTTCCATTTACATTTTGCATCATCTCAACGATCCCGGAACACAATTTGGCGGATACTTGCGTGAGAAAATAAAAAAAGAACAAGAGGTCAACAACAACAAATCTGAGGAATATGCATTCCACCGCCGATACAGTCCCATGGCCTTAATTCCATACCAGTAAATTCGACGACAACAACTTTTTAGCTGGAATGAGACGCAGTTAAGGTTTACCACCTCGACGCACGAGGAGTCAGATGTTTCTGTTCTAGTCCTAAGGACAGCCATCTCCAAAATACCTCATATTAAGCGCTGGAAAGGAAATTCTATTTATGTATATGAAGGAGTTGCAGCTGATGAGAGGACATCTTGTGATGCTCCATTACCTGATTGGGAAGTCCTAAGGGAGGCAGCCGGTGCCATAATTGAATCCACGAGGCCTCTTTGGCTCCCTCCCAGATAAGACTTGTCTTCACCACCTCAATTTGAGGGAATTATCTCCCTATATCTTATATCTCTTCAATCCAATTAATCACAAGAAAGAAATATCAAACTTCCTCTTCTTTGATTTGTTAATCCTTCGGTTGGCCTGGTATTCAAGCTCAGAATGTCTCTTAATAGCACAATGACGGGCCAACAACCTCCTGGCTATGGGTCAATGAGTGATCAAGATGACATGTCTTCAGCCGAGGATAGCGAAGACAGTTTTATGGCTGTTCCATCCCCCATAGATGGTATAAATGGTTGGCAGTCTGCCACCAAGAATATCTTTTGCCTACCGTGGCTAGGTACGTTCGAAACGATGATTTCATAGTAGATGAGGGGTTGAGATCAAGAAGACTGATATACTTTTTCTGCGGGCTTGTTTAGATTCTACAGAACTGACGCCTGCAGCCCTCTTCATCGTAGAGCTACGCTCTATTCTGTTTGCTGGATGGATAAACATCCTCACCATCTTTGTCCCAATTGGCTTAATCACATATGTCGTGAAGGCCCAGCCCATCATGATTTTTATAACCAACGCGGTGGCCATTGTGCCATTGTCCGCACTATTAACTGAGGCGACGGAGAGGATAGCCGATGATGCTGGCGACACAATCGGGGCGCTTCTGAACATAAGCCTAGGCAACATTGTTGAGCTGATATTGTTGTAAGTCGAGGGTTTATCACATTGACGCGCTGCTGTACTATGACTGATATCAGACCCATTATACAGCATGTGAGTGGCCAACGACCTTCTTGGTTGGTTCTCTTCCCTAATGCGCATACACATTGTAGCGTTGCCTTAGCGAATGGCCATGTACGCATTGTACAGGCCTCTATTTTAGGCTCTGTCCTTGTAAATCTTCTTCTCATCCTAGGCTCAGCCTTGTTGGCATGCGGCGTCGCAGATGTCGAGGCATCTTACAGTACCTCAGGCACAGAAGTGCTTGGCTGTCTCCTCTTTGTTTCCGTCTTTGCCTTTCTAATTCCAGTGAGTTTAATTTTCTTTCGCATTAAGCCCCCGACAAGGCCTTGTTTTTTCGAGCGTTGACAATCATACAGACCGCATTTGACTACACGTTCCAGAATGCTCAGGATGCTAGAATCGCAACGCTGAAGCTGAGCAGAGTATCCGCATTCATGGTATTGGCAATATATATTATATACCTAATCTATGAAGTCAAAAATAAAGGCCCCAAACCCTCTAAATTGGGTCCTCCTGGGCTTGATATTGAAAGCCAGGCAGGACGGATTGAAAATCAACCACCTTCCTTACCTGCCGCACCATCTCCTCAGCCTCAGCTTCAGCCAAGGACAATTCGATTTGCCGAGAATGATACCCGAGAACAGTCAAAATCTAACGTGATGAAACATGAAGCAAGCAGTCTGCCTGATACCAGCGATGATGAGGAGTACACGCGCACGATATACGCCGTCAGTGCTCGGGAGATTCGTGGAAGAGGCAGCGCTGAAGGATCTGCGCGAGGAAAAACTATATCAGGATCAAGGTATCAGAAACTTACACGAGCCAGAGGCCACTCCAGATCGTTGTCAGCTGGGTCCCGCCGGCGATTTGCAAGCCGAGACTCGTCAGTTGCTTCAAGCCGACGTCTAGCCCTGAGAAGGTCTGGCCTTCCACCGCTGAGCACAATGCGTGGGACTGTCGATAGTTATGGCCACTTGTCAACTTTCCCCGAGCCAAACATATCCAACATGATTGTTGGAAGATATGTATCTGTATTTGTCCTCGTTCTATCATCGGTTTTGATGTCTATGAACGCCGAGTTCCTCGTCTCCACCATTGACGATGTCACACACGACGGACAATTCTCTGAAATGATTATTGGACTCATCATCCTGCCGATTGTGGGAAACATGGCAGAGTATATTACCGTTGTGACTGTTGCCGTCAGGGAAAAGCTTGATCTTGCTATTGCTGTGTCCGTGGGCTCGTCCATCCAGATCGCACTCTGCGTCACGCCCCTGACAATACTCGCTGCCTGGATCCTGGACCAGGATCTTGGTTTGTCCTTCACCTTTTTCGAAATGGCAACCCTAGTAGGGTCGGTGCTTTTGGTGAATCTCATCATTATGAGCGAGGGTGGAGGGGGGCCACGAGCCAACGCTCTCCGCGGAGGACTGATGTGCGGTTGCTATACCATTGTCGGGTGAGTAAAATTGCTGTGCTTTTACTCCTCCGCCTCATCGGAATATTGACTAAGACCTGAAACTAGGATGGGAGCATATTTAGCACCGGAGATTTGACATGGGACGTGTTACATTGTAGTAGTCATGCAGATAGAAATATTAGGCTGCCAAGAATGAGAGACGGAGTATTTCAAGTGTCCATGCGTAGAGCACTCCCCAAGCCTGGGCCACCGGTCTACATCAACGGTATGGATTGACATGCAGTAAGCATAGTGAAGGATCATGACAAGAGTTTGGGAGTCGAGGGCGGTAGAAATTTAGTCCCAACACCGAAGATCGAATGGAACGTCAGTCAAACCTAGCACATGAGTATATCGCTATTCCACGGCCTCAGAGCCTTTCTCCAACAAGAGCTGATGCCTGTCTATGGCATTTTAGTCTTACCGGAGAAGCTTAAGTTTACCATCAGCCAAAGTCTGAGTAGGGCTGACTGAATGTACTGTCACATCAATGATAATATCAGAAAGCCTGTGTCACGAGCGTAGTGGTTGGCACGTACTTGTAAGATTGACATAGGCAAGCCATTTCTTGGCATATCCGAGATATTCACATCATGGGACTCTCTTCAATGACCTTTGGACTCGAACCTGGTCCCTACCTAACAAAGTGGTCCAAGGAGAGTCCATTATCGGCGCAGGTAAATATGCAGGGGGACTGTCAAGGCAGATTTCACGGAAAACACTCCGATCTAATTTTGTTGCTGACCAGCTGCGTAGATCATGCATGAATGTTGGTGTGCCGGCTTCCCTCGTTAACTGTAATACGCCATGCTGAATACATTACGCCATGCTGAGAGCAGACAAGGCCTCACTGCATGTGAACACGAAGGTCAATGATTTCGGCTAATTTCTATGTAATTTTCTTGGCGGTCTGTCCAACAACCCTTCCGAAATACAGCCCGGTCTGACGCCATCGTTACACCTATTAGGATGCCGTTTCAGTTGAGGCGCAGGTAGCTGCATTCACAATTGGCCGGATTTCATCACAGAGGAAGCTATTCGCTGAGTTAGCCTAACCCCATATCGTCTGGAATAGCCCCTGGACTTGATTTTCCTATCTCACGGGCAGGCCGCGATCATGGAGGGTCGGTTTACAAGCCAGACTGCGGGTACCTGCGTCACGACATTCTTCGATTGTAAGCCTACTTATCAGCTAAACCATTCAAAAAGTTTGTTATGAATAGATACATTGCTTGAATGACACCTCTGTTGCTCTGAGGTTTTGGCCTCTCGCAGGTTCAGGTCGCCGTTGCTCATTTGAGGTGGCCCCGAATGAACACGTTCAGAGACGGAAAAGACACTGCATGGCTTCTCAAGGACTTTCCCATTGATGAGGATCATGTCCAGATACAAGTCGAGAATATTCAGCCTTGGCGCCGAATTTTATTCACCGCGTAATTTAAAAACTCGGAGACATATGTATGTCACCCCTGTCCTACCGACTTACATGCAACCCTCTCAAAGAGAATCCTTGAGATAGGATTTCCTCGTGGGTGCCATATCCATGTGGCGGGATATATCGAAGCTTGAGGCACCAATAAACATCCAATCTTTCACGCCGAAGGTCCTGTGATGATGATATATCGGAAAGTGAAGATGCAAGAAGAGAAAAGGATAAGGCGTTCCATGGAGTAAGCTCATAATTGGCTTCTCTTGTTTGTAATCCATCTCATCAGTCCATCATAAATAGTGCCGGTTCCGCCTTGAACTTTCTTGAATTCCCTCCCTACTCAGCCTTTAAGCAAAGAAGAACAGACCGACACCCTTTCACCAAGAAGAACTACCGCTGAGCTTGCCAACTCCTGATCTTCTCACCATGCGTTTGTCTATCCTCTTCTCAACCCTCACGGCAGTGGCGGCCGCACCATCTAAGCGCTCTGATCGTGCACCACTTCTCATCCCGCAAGGTTTTGAGACTAGTCTTATTGCTGGCAAGTACATTGTCAAGTTCAAGGAGACCGGTGACCTCGCGTCTGCCAACAGCGTCGCTAGCATCCTCTCTGAGCCCCCCGAGCACGTATTTGAGACCGTGTTCAAGGGGTTCTCTGGAACAATTGACCAAGCTACTCTGGACAATCTCCGTGAGCATCCTAATGTATGTACACGACCCAAATACCTCGTATTTTGACTTTGTTTGGGATCGAAGTTGACCTTTGTAGGTTGAATACGTTGAACAAGACGCTGTCGTCACTCTCGATGCCTTCACCACTCAGCCTGGCGCTCCATGGGGCCTAGGACGGCTCTCCAGTGTCAATGGTGGTAGCACCGCATATACATACGATGACAGTGCCGGCGAGGGCACTTGTGTCTACATCTTGGATACAGGTATTGACGTCAGCCACAATGTAAGTTTTCCCGAAGGCCGATATACGGCATACACCCAAGTTGTCCAGCATATCTGACCGTGCAGGAATTTGGTGGCCGCGCCGAATTCCTTGTCAACTATGCAGGGGGAGGCGACACCGATGTCCATGGCCACGGCACTCACGTTGCAGGAACTGTAGGCAGTGAAACGTTCGGTGTTGCCAAGAAGACCAAGCTGTTCGGCGTCAAAGTTCTCAACAACAGAGGCAGTGGCACGTATGCGGGCATCATCAGGGGCCTGGACTTTGTGGCTAGAGACGCGCAGTCCCGTCACTGTCCCAAGGGAGCCATGGCCAACATGTCTCTCGGAGGAGGCAGATCAGAGGCCCTCAACGAGGCTTCAGCTGCGCTTGTCAATAGTGGTGTCTTCCTGGCTGTTGCAGCTGGAAACAGCAATATGAATGCCGCAAGTTACTCGCCAGCCTCCGAGCCTCTGGCCTGCACGATCGGTGCTACTGATTCGAACGACGCCCGGGCTTACTATTCCAACTACGGCGAGGTTGTTGATTTGTTCGCCCCTGGCAGCGATGTTTTGTCTACCCTCCCCGGCAATAGAACTGTAAGTTACACCAAACCCACAAGAAGCTCGCGGTGTACCGGAATCATCATTTACGCATATATCTAACTGAGTTCCATTATTTCATAGGGGGTTAATTCTGGCACATCGATGGCTTCTCCTCACGTTGCCGGCCTAGCTGCTTACCTTTCTGGTCTGGAGGGATTCCCTGGTTCTGATGCTCTTTGTACTCGCATCAAGAATCTTGCCACTGTTGGGATCCTCACCAATATACCCAGCGATACAGCTAATAGGCTTGCGTTCAACGGAAACCCCAGCGGTTAGGTACCTGGCTGCACGGAAGTTTGTTGGAGATGATGTATATCTGGGATCTTACGATGGTTGAATGGGAGGATGCTGATTTCATTAAACGAGAGCATACAAATAGCATGGATACTGATTGTATATTCTCATGTTGATGTGGTATTGGACAAAAGTCTGTGCACATGTGGCACAAGTGCAAACTTGGTCTGGCAGCTGAGCTCTCTCAGAATGCCCTCACATCTCAAGTACATGTACCTAGCCTCGTGCATTTCTAGCTCTTAGGGTACATCATGGATGCATTTTTGGCTTATCTACACTCTCTATCACATGGCTTCATAATACAATCACCACATTTCCATCTCTTGAATGTCGCCTCATCAAATTTTTCGGCCCCTTCCTGATTCTTGAATATTCGGTGATATTTGACTTGAACGGCGCCTGAAGATTAAGACAGGGAAGCCTGCCAGAAGATTTTCAAAGGAAAAACAAACATGCTCGACCCCCCCTCCGGTCAAGATTCGGATTCAGATACGTGAGTTAACAGATGCACCCCTAATAGCCAGAGCAATATTCTCATTCGTTCCCTCGCAGGCCTCTCTGGAAAGCACTCGGGCATGCTTCTCCTCCAAAAAGCCGGGCGAAATCGAGAACTTTATGGTACGTGGAGCTTCACCGATGGAGGCATCGCAACAAGCAAAGCTAATTTATTTCATATGCATAGCTCAGACAGACAACATGAAAGCGGCACAAAGTCTGCCCCAGAAGATTCACCCTCAGAAACAGACACATCCTCGGAAACAGACGTGTCCCAAGAAACAGACACATCTTCGGCAATTTCTTTCGAAGGTTATGACATAGAATCGATATTCTCCCATGGAGACTTTGAGAATTTACCTAACAACCGTGGAAATGGTTCAGTGAAAATCGTGGGATCACGACGGAGGCTCATCGCAGGTGGCATCTTGGTGATACTGATGGTGGTGCTTGTAGCTATATTGGTGCAGTTTCTTCTGCAGGCAATGAAAAGAGGAACTTAGCAGTTTTATCTGATACATATTCCATTATGAGTGGAATGAGATATCTGTCCGTTCATCTGTGCGGCCTTTCCAGCTAGATATCCGGGTGGATAGGTAGTGACAATAGATTGATAATATTTCAAGTCATATCGTAGCGAGCGATTCAACTTGAAATTTTAGCCAGGATAGTGACGGAAGAGTGGCTGGGACATAGTTCGCAGTGAAGTGAACCGCCTTTGACTCTGCTCTCACCTCGGTTACCTGCCACCTTCACCTCCACACGTTCTGAGAGAAAGGCCTTATCGAGCTTCAACAGCAGTAGAACTTTTTTTATTTATCATCTTGTACCCCTGTGCTTCAAGTTTTGCTCAACAGACTACTCACGAAAGTTTGTGTTACAAATTCGATACCAAACAAATTAACACAAACTTCTCAGCGGGTACGTAAACGATATTGTCCCTGATCTCATCGCCATCGCCACAGAAAGAATTTGTTCGATAATCTAACCTCATAACCTTCTCACCAGATGCCGTGTTGACTTACGAGCTGTATCTCCCACCCTTGAGCTTGTTCACGCCACTTCGCCCATACCACTTTCCAATATCGAGGAGGGTCTATCTTCGGTTTGGTTCTTTGATGAACACCCGGAGGATTATTCAGAATGCCTCCATTGCCGTACTCCCGTCGACGAAGGTGAGCGCCGTATTGAACCCATATGACAAAGGTAGTTTAGTGTTTGAAGAATACCTACTGACAGCCGGCACAGTGAAAGGGACCGCGTCGAAGATATTGAAGAGCCCGCACCGAGGCGCCTTCGATTTTCACCACCGGAGCTCACAGATGTCCTATTTGAGATTCATAGCGACTTTCATGTCCGAAGTTGTCAACGCAGAGGTGCTCTTTCGGCCTTTCTCGACCAGCAGAACAAACCAGAACCAGGCCATCGCGCCAGACACTACGCGTTTTCTTTCGACCGCTTCCAAAGCTGGGCTGCCCAGTGGGCTGCGAACCTGAAAGGGAGCCACTGGGTTCTTAGTCTAGATGACAGCGGCTTCATATTTGACGAGGAATCATCATGGCAGAGTGCCCTGATCAGCCTGAATCATCTGCTGGAGCAGGCAGACCCTCGATCATATCCTCGTAATCCAGTCGTCACCATTGCGCCACTTCCTCCTCAGTTCTTGAAGAATAATCCGTTTATTACGGGTGGATCTCCCTCCAGCCAGCAACGTAAACAGCTCACCATTGAAGAAGGCGAAACGGGACCCTCTTCTAGTGGCAAGGCAACTACATCGTCAGGAGAAGAATCCGACTCTGACAGCAAGTCTATCTCGTCCCAAAAGGACATTTTTAGTGACGAAGAGTCGGGATTTGGTGGTAACGACTCTGAGGTCCCTGAGTCATCGGATTCTGAGAACGAAAGTGCGTCAGATGAAGAGAGTGAGGAAGACGAAGACGAAGCCGAGTCCAATTCCAATCCACGCAAAGATGGGAGCCCTAATCTCATCACCGACGGGTCTACAATAAACAAGGCAGAGGATGACATTGAACAAGTCGACGCGGGTCATGAAGGGGACAGTTTTCTCATCGACGAAAGAAACGACCATGTACAATACCCAGAAGGAGACGTGCTGAGCGCTTCACCCACTACTTCAACTGAAGAGGGCGACAATGGAGCACCTCCTTCAAACTTGATCCCAGCTATAATTGAAAGTCAGGTACAGACATCGACAACTACGGCCGCGACATCATCTCGCGAAGAAGAGCCCAATGGCGTACTTGAAATGGAGATTGATCTCTCAAGCAACGAGGAGGAGAGCTCATGCGATGAGGAATTTGACGACGATATGGAAGAAGAATGCCTCGGGGACGAGCGTATTGCACCTGCGCAGCAACTCTTGTTCAAACGGCCATTCTTAACCCAGAAAAGTTGGGCTGAAGTATGCACCGTCTTGGACCATCCAATCGAGAAGCGCGATGAAGGCAAGCTACTCTTGGGCACTACCCAGAGCCTTCGAATTCACCAAATGGCTTTTATCGTCCGGGCCATGAAGGCCCATCGTGTAGCTGAAGAGTTGAATGGACTCCTTCTAGCGGACAATGTAGGGCTTGGCAAGTCGATATGCGCACTGGGTCTTTTTGCTACAACGTCGCTTGCTCTGTTGAATCTCCGACATGCACGCCAATATCCTGAGAGGCATTTGCCGAGGGATGAGAAGCGTAGGGGTCTGAAGTGTCCCTCAGGAAACATGTATGGTATCCAGTGCGTCTGTATTCCAGAAGGCATCACGCATGATTATGTCCAGCATCTCGTCTATGGACCTTCGGTTTTTGCCGTCCCAGCCAGCAACCTGGATGCCTGGGCAAGGCGAGTCAGTGTGTATTTCAAACGCACATTCCGTGCTCGCGGGTCGACGGTTGATGAGGAGTTGGTAGAGCCGCTCTACTATCGAGAAACAGGCCAGATCAGCCCGATCCCTTTAGAAGGCGAAGAGAAGGCGGTTAAAAGAACCGATCTGGTTGCTTCACCCAAAGTTTCCTCCTCCCCAAAGCGAATCGCGAAAAAGACTCGGGGAGAAGCCAAGCAGAACGATTCAAAGCCAATCACATATCAAGAGGCCTGTGCCACCTATGGAAATGCAGGCAGTCTCTATTTCAAAGCGCCTCCAATTGGTAAAGCACAGTTTCGGTATCTAATTCTCCTATCCTTCACGGCTCTCGGCCGTCAGACATCTGCTCTGGCGCGTGTATTCGGGGTACAGACCGCTCTTCCCAACCAGCACAAAACGAATGTTGCTGTGAAGGGCAGAGAACATCCAGACTCAAGCATTAGTATCATTATTCCATTTGCCATCTCAGTCAATCTGTTCTTTTTCGACGAGAGTCACTCAGTCACGAGCAGGGATACACAACTATTCAACAGCTTCGAGGATATCAAGCGTTTGTCAGGAATCAGCCCCCGCAAACAACCGAAATGGTACTTTATGACAGCAACCCCGTTCTCACACTCCCCCAACGATATACATTCGTGCCTTAGATTGCTCATCGGAAACCGAGACGTGAAGAAAAGGATTCTTCATGAGTTGCCCAACTTTGCTACCCGGTTTCGCAGGCTACAGCCCAAGAAATCATCCGGCGCAAAGAAACAGCTGACCCACGGTGATGATACTACGACCCAATTCGCTCAAGACTTTGCCAAGTTTGTTCGGCCTTTTACGGTTGCTAGAGACTGGGGAAGCCCTTACCTGGATACCTGCCTGCATGATACACGCCCCGGGATCAAACACCACGTCGTCGAGGTGTCTGTCCCTCAAGGCCTAGTAAAAGCTGTGGAGAGACTGGGTGCCCGTTGCAGAAAACAGCTCACAGTATTACGTGCCGAGAAACGGCGAGACCTCCACCTCGAGGAGGTTACGGGCATCAAGATATTTACCCAGTTCTTCAGCGCGAGCATAGTTCCTGGGCTCGCAGCAATTCTCGAGCGAGAGAATGGTCATCTGCTCCCGACGTCAGTGAGGCGGGTGGACGAGGACTTTCGACTAGGAAAAAACGGCATCTTGAGGAAGACTCTGCACTTCCATCGAGGACACGAATGGGCCGAGAGATTGACCGAGATCATCAAGACAGCACATGGAGGAGGCAAGGACCAAAGTCACGCCAAGGGCGATTCCACACCAACCAGCGAGGGCCCATGCCATATCCTACTTGTTGCACAGACGCCGGTACTCGTCGGTCTCATTGTGCGGTTCATCGAGGAGGACCCGGAGCTGAAGGACATCACACGAGCGAAGCGCATCTTCCAGTCAGTGACTCCCAAACCGGCCGGGCGCGACACCCTTCTGCGGAGCATTGAAAAGGAAGCAGCCGAGTCGGACCGGACGTACATTTTGGTGACGACACCACGGCTAATTGGAGTTGGGGTTGACATTGTTTTTTGCTCATACGTGGTACAGTTCGGCGAGATATTCTCGAACAGAGAGCGCGAGCAGCTCATCGGACGTGTGAATCGGCCCGGACAGCGGTTGACAGTTCACCATTGGCACATCAAGTCAACGCACCACGCGCATGCGCTCGTCAGGGAGCGTAACAATGGACGGTCTGTCATGTTGAGCGAACATGGGTTGGTGGATGAGGGGGTGGAGAGTGAGGAGGTGGCATTGGGACAAGAGCCCGAGGAGACACCGCTGGTTAATCCGCTGGTTATTCCGCTCGACGAGGATGAGGACGAGGACGAGCTCACACAATGCTAATCATCATACCAAGGAAATCCATGCTGTAGTCTATTTCTGAGAGTTATGGAAAGGAGATGCTTGCTTTAGATCGAACGACGAGAGATGAAGGATGAAGAAGCGGGGTCCAGTAGCTATAGGGTGATCGATTGATAGTGGCTCTGCTGACACGTTAATGCAAACAAGAATAGCTTCACCTGGTTTCGCTCCCAGTTATATCTCTCCATTTAGCCACGTCTTGCGGATAAGCAGGCCTCCCGGGCACGAAACCAGGATTTCAACGGGATAATATGTCTGTACCAGGAAGCTGGGTGACGATAACACACAAGCCAATGCCCCTATACCCACCACGGACCATGGCGATGGGGCTCTGCCATCAGGATGAGGATATAGTAGGATTGCGTATGACGCACATGGCTCCCAGGCACATAAATTAGGTGTGGCGGCGATCTTGCACCACCAGGCACTGGGTAAGGCGTGAACGTGTTTGGAAATGCTGACGGCCAGGGCACTGAGTATCCATTTGCAGCCGTGGGTGAAACCTGCAGATGCCCAAAGAGGCAGGACACTGGCTTTAATTAGGCCTGTTTCAACCCAGTGGAGGAGCCTTAGA